ATAGCAAAACTATTATCTGGGATCATTTCGTTTACAATAACCGCCTTTGGTGTGAGTGATCTAATGTTTAGGAGCCCAAACTTTAAAAATGTTTTTTGTTTATTTATTTAACATTTTTCTGGTTTAATCACGATCAGATTTTTTCTAGAGCCTGCATTAAATTTATATTTTGACCTCACTATTCGGGTAACGGACACAGTCTTTATAGATTGGACAGCGGAAGTACTTCTGTCATTTAAGTGGTTAGAACAAAAGCCATCATAGCAGTTATTTGAGAATTGGCTTACGAGCCATATGGAGCGTAGCGTCCTGGAGATGTTATCCAACAGGAGTTCCGCTCCAACTCTGCTGGGGTGCAGGCCATCAGTGCGAAAAAGCCTAGGTCGCTCCCAGAAAAGATTCCGATTATTAACAAAGAGCAGTTTCTGTTGTTTACACCATGACAATAACCATTCGTTTAAAGCAAAAAGTCCACTGAACCTTTCATGTCCTCGTCGATACGTGGGAAGCGGTCCTGACACGATGATCGTCGTCGCGGGCGATGTGCGGCGCACCGTCTCGATCAGGCTCCTGAAGTCCCTCTTCAGTGTTTCCGTCTGCCGCAGCTTGGTGTCGTTAACCCCCGCGTGCAGTACGACCGTTCCAATGCTCTCGTCGCCCTTCAGGATCGCGGGTATCTGCGCAGAAACATCGAGAACTCGAGTACCAGGAAAACAGTGGGTGTGCACTTTACCTTCAGCTAACGTAGTACGGACGTGCCAGACGATGGAGATTCCGACGATCACAGCATCGTGTTCCGTCTCGCGGAGGGGAGCGAAGCGGTTCCGGGTGGAGATCTCGAAGACCGGAGGCGGCGGAGGGGGAGAGGTCGTCGCCCGGGGCCTGGCTCGCGTCTTCCGCTGCGGGTGCACCCAGGGTCCGTGGTGTCCCGGCGCAGGAGTGAAGGACATCTGGGAAGATCGCGTCCTGGGTGCACGGGGCCCAGGAGTAGAGGTGGTGGGAGTGTTAGCAGCGTGCTGTATACTTACCCCGGACTTGTGAGCGTCAGCCCAGGATGTTTCCAGCGCGGCTCTCCGCTCTCTCAGCTGGGCCTGCTTCTCCAGCAGGTCACGGATCTGCTTCTCCTCGGCCTCCAGCTCGAGTTGCACCGAATGCAGCTCGAACGTGTCCTCACCTGCACTCAAAGGTAGGCACACATCCGCCATTAAAGCAAGTAACAGTGAGTAAAACGTGGTACACAGTGGTAATGTGTGTGAATAGACTATTAGCAATGTAAGCGAGATTAGAGGCAACCACGCTAGTGATGCTAACGGCTGTAATCTGATAGCGGACTCGGAGAATCAAAATAAAACTACTGATAACAAGGAGCTCTGATTGTTTTTGTTGTAGAATACAATAGGGGATATATTCACACGTTATAGAAACGAAAATGATGGTGTATAAAATTTATTTTAAGATAAAAAATAGATGATAAAGAATTAACTTGATGGAGATCAAACTCAAAACACGCGGCAGCAACAAACAAAAAGTGATGTTTGGTGTGACGTCTGGTGTGTTTTAGGCATTTTGTGATTACAGCTTTTTCAAATTGCATGTTTTTTCCCATCTAATATCTGGGATGAAAATCAAACAAATAGACAGAAAAGTGAATTTGTCACAGTAAAGACAAAGCCCGAAAGGTATTAGAATAGTGCAGGAAGCCTCTAGCACATACAGTACATGCAGCTACCCAACATGGCAAAGTAGCTTTTCTGCCCTTTTATTTGTGTGCAGTAATATTTTCATAGTGCAAGGTTTGCTGCCAAAAAACATTTATTGTAATACGAAGCCCTGCAGGGTGCTCCTTTTCCAGAGCACCATCTTCCATTTACATTTTCAAGGATTTTTTTTAAGACTGAGATGAATATTTTTGTGAACATATTTATTTGTCTTGCATTTTAATGCTTCAATTGCCAATTGAAACTAATAGGCTTAAACATGCATTACATTATTAAAAAAAAATCACCTGACAGAGTGAAGCAAACTATGCCTTATTCATACAGTATTTCAAATTGCTAAATGTAATCACATTTAAAGGGGACCTATTATGCAAAAATCACTTTTATAAGGTGTTTGAACACAGTTGTGTGACCGCAGTGTGTGAAAACAACCAGCCTATAATGGTAAAAATCCACACACTCATTTTTTTATAATCCCAATAAATCATGAACAGTCAACAAGAACAAGTGATTCCAGATTTCTCCCTACGTACACGTCATCTTAGGGAAAAAGTCCCGCCCATTTGCGATGGTGTCTGCTCTATTAGCATAAACACAGCCTTGAGTGAGTAGCAGCTGTCCGCCATTACCGTTTTCTTGCTGTATCTGCTGGAGATACAATGTCGGTGCAAATTACAAGCGTTGTGTTGGGATGCACCAATGAACATAGGAGTCTACATAGACTCCCTCTATCTGAGCCGCTGAGGACACTGTGGTTAAATTTCATTTTCAAAGGAAATATCCCGGAAAAAATCTGTAAAGTCCCCTATATGTTTAGGGATCAATACCAAACATTTCTGACATTTTAAGTGCATGAGATTGTCCTGTTTTGCTTTTGCCAACTATTGAAGCTCTGCCCTGATGTGAATAGGTGGCCGGAAGCAACAGCTCATTTGCATTTAAAGGAACAAACACGAAAATTGCATGTTTTCGGTCATACCAAAAGTCGCAATTTTAACAAGCTATAAAAAATTATCTGTCAGGTATTTTGAGCTAAAACGTAACATACACACTCTGGGGACATCAGAGACTTATTTTACATTTTGTTAAAAGGGGCATAATAGGTCACCTGCGAATCACTACTGAGCATGCAAAAAGATGTAAAAAAAAAAAAAAAAATCTTGCTGCATTAAGCTAATGAGATTTTGAGGGGGGATTTAAATTTTTTTCTCTTTTTGAATTCACACTGCATAAAATGTGCTTCCTTTTTTATACAGTAACAAAATTTATACAGTTTATGAAATTCTCCCTTTTGCACCTCATATCTGTAAATGCAGAGCAACATAAGCAATGTCATATTTGTATCAAGAACCACTTTCTTTAAGCTGTCTGTCTCATGTTTGTTGGAACACAAAAATTGTTGTTGCTGATTGGGTAAAAATCTGTAAGACATGAATATGTCTGGTGTCTAGCTTAAGGAATCCGTGTTAATGCAAATTCAGAGGCTATGTTGAAGGATAAGAAGGCTAGCAGACAGTTTTGTCAGGATCAAAATGTACTTCAGCAGAACCTGCTGCCTTGTGGATTGCATTAAAAATATAAAGTCTTATGAGAAACCTGAGGCGACTCTGTGAGCGGATTTATGGCACTGATTTGACAAATCTGAGATGGCCATTTTGACGTGAGAAGTTGTCTATTTTCCAGCTGTGCAGTCGTGCTATCAGCTCCTTTGTGTCTGTGACAGGCTCTGAGGAACACTGAGAAGAAAAGTCCCATCATCCCAGGAACAGAGAGCAGGCACATTTGCTGCCATCGAAATAACATTCTGCTCTCAGATATCTGTTACACAGTGTGACACTGAAATTAATCCAGAAAAATGTGATGATGTGTGGAAAAAAAGGGCTGACTCATATTTCTATGTTTGATAAAAGAAGCCTAACCGGATTAGGAGGACAGATATACATAGCCCAATGTTTGGGTGAAGTGAAGGAAATTTCATGATTTATGCTTTCGTGGGTCTGTACCTAAGCTAAAAACAACCGCAAAACCAAATCCTGCTTTCGAAGCGAGATTTTGAGGGTGGATTTAAATTTTTTTCTCTTTTTGAATTCACACTGCATAAAATGTGCTTCCTTTTTTATACAGTAACAAAATTTATACAGTTTATGAAATTCTCCCTTTTGCACCTCATATCTGTAAATGCAGAGCAACATAAGCAATGTCATATTTGTATCAAGAACCACTTTCTTTAAGCTGTCTGTCTCATGTTTGTTGGAACACAAAAATTGTTGTTGCTGATTGGGTAAAAATCTGTAAGACATGAATATGTCTGGTGTCTAGCTTAAGGAATCCGTGTTAATGCAAATTCAGAGGCTATGTTGAAGGATAAGAAGGCTAGCAGACAGTTTTGTCAGGATCAAAATGTACTTCAGCAGAACCTGCTGCCTTGTGGATTGCATTAAAAATATAAAGTCTTATGAGAAACCTGAGGCGACTCTGTGAGCGGATTTATGGCACTGATTTGACAAATCTGAGATGGCCATTTTGACGTGAGAAGTTGTCTATTTTCCAGCTGTGCAGTCGTGCTATCAGCTCCTTTGTGTCTGTGACAGGCTCTGAGGAACACTGAGAAGAAAAGTCCCATCATCCCAGGAACAGAGAGCAGGCACATTTGCTGCCATCGAAATAACATTCTGCTCTCAGATATCTGTTACACAGTGTGACACTGAAATTAATCCAGAAAAATGTGATGATGTGTGGAAAAAAAGGGCTGACTCATATTTCTATGTTTGATAAAAGAAGCCTAACCGGATTAGGAGGACAGATATACATAGCCCAATGTTTGGGTGAAGTGAAGGAAATTTCATGATTTATGCTTTCGTGGGTCTGTACCTAAGCTAAAAACAACCGCAAAACCAAATCCTGCTTTCGAAGCATGATTCACATATTTTCAATGCAAATTTATACAAAATAAACAGCATGATTAAATAGGCAGCTAATGCAACAGTTACAATACATCCATGCATTCCTTTATTGATGACTTTAAGAGGTACCCATAATCCACTATAGTCTGAATCGCAGATTGACAGATTGACTATTTTGACAGTGAGACTTTTCCTGTTCTCTCTGTATGAGTGTTAAAATCAATACTAAAATCAAACCGTGTCGGAGAGCTTTGTTGGATTATGCTTTGTTGAAGGAATGGACTTGTGTCTTGCTTTGAAGGAGTCTGATGTCTTACATCAGTTAAACTATGATTGTTCTATCGATCTTTGATTGAACTATTCATGCTGAAAGATATATATTTATTTCTTTTGAATATAGTTTTGGAGTTTAAAATTTCGATATGATAAAATGAGTAACTGTCAGGAATTGGCACCGTAATGTAGCGCTGCTTTTGGAACTGACTGGAGACAAGTGTGTGTACCATGAGCCATGGAGAAATGATTGTTGTTAATAACATAAAAAATAAAAAACCCTACAAGGCAGATGTAGCTTTTTTGTGACATTTAAAAAATTTTTTTTTAAATATCTTGCTTAATATCTCATTCCAACTTTTAACGTTTAGGTAGCATTTAGGGATGCAACAATGTCGTTATCTGGATCTGTGATAATGACAGTATTATTTGTGTTCAGATAAAACTGGAAGTTGTTCAAAACCAGATAAAAAGCAGATATTTGCATAATAAGCACATATATGCATTTTTTAAAAATATATAAAGCATTTAGAGTTGCATGCCTTAGGGTTGCTTGATATATACCATTAATTAGCTGATTTTAGAGTTCTTTTTTTTTTTGCTAATTCTGCCTATGTTATGTTTGGATTACCTTCATCTTCTAACACTCA